TCTTCTTCTGTTTCTGGAGGGGCATTAGCGCCAACTACTGGAATGGAGTGTGAATCGGGATGTGCAGCCAGACGGAGATGACGCGTTCTGCTCGTGCGCTCTTGTTATCAGAAAACCGAGCCAGGGAAAAACCAAGCTGAGCCCACCTCTGGAACTGGTCTGCAGTTAGCTCAGTCCAGTTGTGTCTCGCTCGGTTCAGTTCAGTTTGCTTTCCATTTACACACGGTAAGTCATCTCAGTTACTGAGCTCGGCACGGTTTTTCAAGGGTAGTGTAAATGGGGTATATGTCTCTATGTTCTGATGGCATTTTGGCAAAAGGATTTTCCATCAAAAACATAATGTGCACAAATAAGGAATAGTTGTATTAACTATACATGTAAATAGAGTTCTTTGCCCCCTTTGGTGTAGAAGGCTTACAGCCGTACATGTTTGAGCCCTTGCCTCGCAACGCTCCCAGTTCTGTTAGCTCTGCGCCTGCCGAAGTCACTCACCTTCCCTCTACACAGAAAAGCCATCAGTGTGCACCACTGCTCCTGCTTGCCCCCTCCTCCCACCACCGGGGCTCGCTCATGGGCGAGAAGGCTGACGAACCGGGCGGCCTGTCTTGGGCTCTCCAGCAGGCGGCCGGCCCGTAGGACACGTACGTAGGAACACACTGGCCTGTTCACCCCGTTCTCATCCTGTGAAAAGCACAGAAACACATTTCAGGAGTATAGAAGTGAAAAGGGAAGGCCTCAACTATTTAGGGACGGTGATGAGAAAAGGTGACAACTTTTCCCTTATTTTGTTTGTATTATTGACCTCCAAAAAAAAAAAAGTGGGTACAGAATCAAAGATCAAATGGATCAAATACAAGAATACCTTAAAAAGAGGGAAGGATATAAGAAAACAAAGTTCTTTGAATTCTAAAGGGAAGCCAAACCTGAGCAAAGATCTTGACCAGTTTGGACTGGTGAGACGATCGGATCTCCAGGAACTCTCTCCACCACTGTTTGGCGTAAACCAGGAAGAGCCTTTCCTTCTCTGCCGTTCTCTGCCTCTCCAGTGATTGCTAAAAGCAGAGTTCGGTGACATCAGCATCTCCATTCAGTGTGTTCATATTTCACAGGACCTCATTGATGGCTTTTCCTGGGAGGAACGGCTCTGACAGCAGTAATGGAATTCTGTGGTAATAATTCCTCATGTTCTCACAGCGGCTAAGCTCATTCAGAAATAAAGGAAATAAATAAACCACAAGTACAAGGAAGTCTCTGAGTCACTGAGACAGAAAGTCTGGGGCGGCTGATGCCGATAAAATAATCTAGATGGACCAAATGAGGTCTTTTAAAGGCTCATATCAAAGTAGCATGTTTCTTTCCTTAAACATTTATCATAAACCTTTATTAAATGTTGTACTTAGTATCCACACTGGATTATCTCAGATTATTATACTGGTTATTGTGAAAGATAATCCATCATAACATTTTAGGTTTATCATTAGAAACTCTTCTTGAGCAAGTCGTATTTTTAGAATTGATGCCCAGATGAGAAACAGAGAGGAAACAAAATTGGCATACTTTACAATTTCTGGTCATTGCAATATTAACTAAAAATATCTTGATCATAGATTTTTGACTATAGATCAAGTCCATCACCCCGTTCTACAGGTCCTGCTGCTCTTACCTGTGTACTGATGATATCAGCGTTCAGAGTCTCTTGGAGAGGAGGGAAGAGCTCCAGGCTGACGGTCAAAATGCCTGCTGGGATTTTACTCTCACTACCTGGTGACACACAATCATTTCACTCAAAGCTGTATGTTCATCATATCACAGGAGACGACACAGAAGCAAATCCCACTCTATGCTGCAATTTCTATTTCATCAAAAAATACTTTTAAACTAAACCCAAATATTGGACAGATGGCGAAGCTACATACAGCTCGAGGCAAACTTTCATAGATGTGCTGTTAAAAGTCTAAAGGTTCTACATGCTGTTTTTCTAAGCCTTCTAAGTCAACTACAAACATATGATGATGAAATGTTGCATTTGAAACTACAGAATGTTAATTTGTTATGAAATATTATGCAACGTGATTTGAACAGCAGAAGCAGAAGGTTTACATGCAAAGTCAATTGTTGAGGCGCATCAGAAGGTCCTGAGCTCATGAGCTTCCGAGGCTGGTAATGCGCTGATGGAAAAATTAAATTTTTGCTGCCCGACGCACGAGCTGGCAGG